CATAAATATATTTACAGTTGTGGAATATAGACAATGATAGAGACAGCAACAATGAAGTCTTTTTTATTGCTATGATAGAAAAGTGTGCTGGCCAAAAATGCATGTAGTAAACCTTCACATACTGTGAGCCATCTCTAATAACTGAGGTACTCCCTCTACCCACAAAAGTACACAAACCAGAGGAATATCTACTCCTAAATCACACACCCAAAGACTATCCTAGAAGCTCACCTGCAAATCCAGAAACACACAGGCTGTGAATTTGTGGGGGAAATGCAATCTCTTCCCCATACATAGAACCAGATGGCATCTATCACATCAGCTGATATTTGTGATTATTACTATTTTCCCTAATTGCCCTTCAGGGATCTGCTTCTTTGCATCATGTTAAATACTTGTAATTAGCCAATGAAAGATTTGGAGCTAAGCTAGTTTTAAAAATAACAACACTGAGAAACTGAGGCCAATGTAATGGAATGTATACTGTAATTCTATTCTCATAATGCTAAATACTTTCAGCCGAAGATACTTCTAGAGATGCCTTTTATTAAAAGCATATGGCATATGTTCACTTTTGTTGTGGCTTTCAGTCTTCTTAGACAACTCTGCAAATAAGGCATAGAGGAAAGCGAACACGGCTTCCAAAAAATGATTCTGACCAACCATGAGGCATGGGCTTAGCAATGTGTTCATTGCCAGGGGGAATCCTTGAGACCGCCAACCTTCATTGTGGTGATTTAGAAGGAAAGAGCTTTGAAAACAGACCTCCTTTCCCCCTTTAGATTTCCCTGTCAAGACACATAAAAGAATTCAAACTAATCAAAAAGTCCAAGTGAGCTAGCTGGTTAACTAGGACAGGCCCAACCTTGAGTTCAGAGAGCTTTCTAATGCATTCCACCTGTCCCTCCAAGAAACAAAGTTTACAGGGTACAGCGACTGCAGAGGAGGCTTGCTTCTAAAGAGAACGACGCTCATATGGTAGCCGAAATGGCATATCATGGAATTTTAGCTTGACATTGAGAACATTGTCACTCTTAATAAATCACCCCATGCCCAAGATACTGAATTTCTTTTCTTCTTACATGTTTTAAAATCTGTTTAATCATCATGAGAGAAGCAGCCAGCAGTACTATAAAGACCTAAGGCAGTCAGTCCTTGAACCTCCTTATAATCTGGTCCCACCTTACCAACCAAATTTAGCATGCAACGGATCCTCTTCACCCCACAGGATGAACACTTTATTGTCTGGTCTCTCCCCTCTCCCCACACCACACAGCTTCCTCCCTTACACACAAAGGCTATGATCACCCCTGCCTCCACCTATAGTGCTGCCCTGCCTGGACTGTTTGCCCTTGTCACCACCTCTCCAAATCCCTCCGCGTCCCATTCATGTTCCATGCTCTGTGAAGTCTTCTCTAATGGCACCAGCCAGTATCAATCTTTTCCTTTCCTGATTATCGCTCCCACTTCCTGTCAAACTAAGGATAGAAATTGCACTGTTCTTGGACTTACATCTTGAGGTTACCTCCAGGGCACCATGCCCTTTCAGCAATAACAGTGAGAATGGTAGGGGAGGTGGGAATGGAGTAGTGTGTGTTTAGTATTTGCCAACCACCTTGGCAGTGGTTCATATTGAAACTTAAGGTTACGTTATCTCATGTCATCCAGCTGTACGGAGTTCCATGTTCTATAAAAGATGTCATAGAGAATTACAACTGATCATTCTGGAAGGGCCCCTCAGGCTGGCCCTCCCTTCCTGGGTTGGCTTGGTCGGCCTCAAAAAGATGATTTCAAATATGCATCAGGGGTGATGGATTTCCTGGTGTTTTTTCTCATAAATATGTATATAAATGTACCCATATGTCTATATGTTGTATACATATATACTCAATGCATAAACCAGATTACTAATTCAAATGGAGACATTTGAACAAGGAGTAGAGTTCCTTGGAGACATTTCTTCCCAGAAATTACACTCCCCAGGGCCACTTCTTCAAGGCACTTCCTTCTGAACAGAGGATAGGTAAGAAGCTCCAGAGTGTCCAGGAAATTGCCCAAGGAGCATGACGTCAGAGCCTTCCTTCCCTTGCTTTCCAGAGGCTGAAACTGCTCTGGCCCTGCCATTTGCTGGTTGTGCTGTCACTAAGCACATTGTCAGCCTCTCTGTGCCTTGGTTTCCCCAGCTGTAAATGCAACTAGTAATAGTACCTAACCTACAGGGTTGTTGTGAAGAGTGCTTAGAAAAGTCAGAAACACCTGCTAAGCACGTATTCAATGTTAGTTCTTTAGGATTTTTATTTATATCTTTTCACCAATACTTCAGAAATTCCCTTTCCATAAGAGTGCAACAGCCCTAAGAGAATAATGAAGCCCTTATTGATTTTTTTTTTAATCATTGAAGAGTATTCTAAATCCAGGAGTACCAAGACCCATCTCACTCGGTATGGCTGATGTGTGAAAAACTTTTTCTTTTCTCTTCTTTATACACAGTACCTGGGAGTGAACTCTACTCCTGGTTCAATTCTTGTTCTGAATTTTTCTTCATAGACCATGTGTGCAGATGTCTGTGTGGATGTGAATATAGGAGGTGAAGCCCCACAGCTCTGAGGCCCTTGGGTGAGCATTATGCACTATCACTTCCCACACATTCTTTTCCTCTCCAACCCTCCCGGCTTCCAAACCAAAAAGCCTGTCTGTGATTCTCCTCTCTCAAGCAGGACCCGGGGCCCTTGGGAAGAGGTGAGGCATGACTGACACACAGGGAAGGCAGGCTGTGGCGCAGGCTGCTGGAGGGTAATCTTCTAGATGATTCATCAGGTTGGCAGACTCCCCCGCCCCTCCTCTGGCCCCTGGAAAAACCCTGCCAGAGAAGGAGGAGGCTTTGTTTTGCTGATGTTTCTTACTCCAATATCAAACTGGAGGAATGGTACCTTTTCCTGAAAGACCTGCGTATAAAAGGTCTTGCTGCCTTCATCTTTGCTGTCATTGTTTTTAAAAATAAAGGAGTAGCCCCACCTAACTTTCCACTGGATGAGACCTGAATGGGGGATTTTTGTTTTAAGCTTCCGACTCTCTGCAAAGTGCACCGAGCTCCCAGGTGGGGAAGGGAGCCTGCGCAGTCTGCAGAGGCTAGATGGCTCGGAGAGGAGCCAGCTCTCCTACAGGTGAGGCACCGGAGCCTGCCCCGCACCCCGCGACCTTGACTAGAATTTCCCTCCTTGCTCCCTGCTTGTTTTACAAGGTATCGAATGACAGTCTGCGTCTAGTCAATGTCAAGGCCAAGGGAACGAATCAAGACCTTTCGTCCTCCCCTCCCCTCCCCGCTCCTCTCCCCCTCCCCCTTCCCATTCACCCTCCCTCCAGCCCTCCTCCAAACCACAACACCAATCAACCAACCCCACTGGTCTGAAACCCTCTGAAGTAGTACAATATTAGAAGCTGTGGAAACAACGCATTTCCAATATCAGTAGGAGAGGGCAAAGGGACAGAAGGAGACAGAATTGGGGGGAAATGGGAATTCAACCTTTTTTTCTTTAAGTGGAGGGCAAGCAGGCCTTCCTCAGGGGAAGGAGGACCCACCATTTCCCCAGGTAACACATTCCAGAGACTGAACAAATTGTCCGGAGATGCTGGACGGGGGCCACGGGAATACACAACGTTTAAATCCAACCATGGGAGTTGTTTACAATCCTCAGGAAGATGCCAAAGGGTTTAACAGGCGGGGTAATGGCTCGCAGCTGCGGTGCTGGCTGGGTGGTACCTCCCCGCCTTCCCTGCAGGAGAAGCTGAAGCAACACCGTGACTGGCCCAGGGTCACACTCCAAGCTCCAGACAGAAATAGTTCCGACTCCTCCCTCCTGGCTCGAAGCAGCAGACAACGCTGCCTTATTACTGTGCTATCATTCAAATCTGAATCATGTAAATGGCTCCTAATTGCAGGCCTATAGTGAACTGTGGCCCTGTGACTCTAACTGCCACGGAGCTGAGGTGGGGATGACAGACTCCTGAATATGGAATTAAAATGCTGGAAGGGGTGGGGGCTGGGAGAAGTGTTTGCAAACTCGACTTTGAAACTGCTGACTACTACCATGTTTAGGCGTTGTTTTTTAATGAATTTGAAATGTCACCTCCAATTTGTTAGTGTGTTGAAACAGAGAAGTACTTGGGGTTCAAATGAATGCCATTCAAAAGGGCATTTGGGGGTGAATCTCAGCTATTTCCCAAGCACTCCATCTTCACGCTCTTCCTTTTTAATGCCCGCTAAATTACCGCCTCATTTTGGTGTTTAAACTTCCCTTTTAACTCTTCTGTAGGCAGCTATGGGGGAGGGAATGGTAGGAAGGGGCCAGGAGAGCAACCAGGTGTATAAATTCAGATCTGTCCACGGGGCTGGTCACGTGCTGTGCTCAGGAAAGAAAGTGCATTCCATGCAGCAAATTGCTCTAACTGATTCATTTGTCCAGGCAGAGACGCCACCTACCTGCTTGCAGGTATTCAGGTAAATGACAGGTGGGCGGGACCTACTGACTGTTTCAATAGCTAAGGTCCCAGCAATGTTTTATCTGTCCAGGCTCCCTGTGATGTCACACATTTCCTGCTCTCCACCGACCAATGCCCTCCTCCTTCCTCTAGGCACCTGTACGCCGAGGCTCAGGCTGGTCACAGCTCGGGCTGGGCTGCCCGGGGAGCTGCTGGATTCACCTGCACAGCATGAGAGCTGCGGGGCTGCTGCTTTGAGAGGCCGGGCAGACACTTACAAAGGTGAGCTGAAACCCTCCATTTGCCTCTCTCAGCATTTAGACCCCTGGCCCCAAGGGATCTGAATGAGGAATTGGAATGAAAACTACAAGCCTCGGGTGTTTGTCCCAGAGGGAGAAGCCCTTTTGAGAGAGAAGCGCAGAGGGATGCCTTTGCCATTTTGGTTGCACAGGCAGGTCCTCCCAGGCCAGATATTTAATCCCTTTTGCTTCTCTTAATCATTAATCCAGCCTCTGCTTGTCTGGGAAGTCGATCTGATTTTTTTTTTTAACCCTGGAATGGAATAGAGACTTTTGAAACTTAACTCAAAGGTACAGACCAATTCAGCCGGTCTAGTGGGGGTGGGGAGGCCAGCGCCAGCTGAATTCAGAATGGCTGTATTTGCTTTATTTTGCCGAACTTTCTGCATTCATCACACCAGAGGCAATTTCAACCGAAAGCTGCTCAACGTCCTTAATTGCTCCCCCCTCGCTGAAATTTTTTCTCAAACAGGTAAATTCTGTTCCCCACTCAGACGCCCTCTACTCCAGTTTCCCTCCCTCTACAGTACTTCTCTTTTGAAAAGTCTACTGTTTTCTTTGTTCTTTGCTAAACACCCTTTTTAAAACCACTTTGCTATCTGGTTGGAATTGTTTACATTCACCTCTGGACTGGCTGCCCGTTGACCCTTCACTTCGGTTAAAGTAAAGACTATTTCCTCTTTGCTTACAAGAATGTAACTTCAAGTCTGCCATTTAATTTTCTGGCACTCATCCACTTTTTCTCTTTCTCTCTTTTAGTAGCAAATATACTGGGGAGATTGTTCTGCGGGGACCTGACATTTTTACAAGTAATTTTACCTCTAGGATCCATTTTGGTTTCCTAGTCCTGAGCACGCAGCCGTTACTACTTCTGTTCTTGACAGTCCACTGGCCACACTCGACAGTGGTTAGAGCAGGAAAGCAACCATCTCCCAACACAGTTCCCTCCGGGAATGAGCTGGAAACTTGGGAGAGAAGTCCACCTGCTAGGGAGGCATTTCATTCATTGGCTGTTTTTCTGAGATTTCAGTTAGCAAATATGTTTGCAAAAGAATAACCGGTGAGGAATTATGCTCCTCTTCAATCACCCAGGAACTCAAAGTGCATGTCAGTTCTTCCAAAGTATAAATTGAAACAAGATGAGAAGTTTGTTTTGTTTTTTGTTTTGTTTTTTGTCTCAGTTGCTTCTCGACACTGAGAATCCATACTGTGCTGGTTGCCAATTTCCCTCTTGCTCCTTGGAGGCGTGTATTGTTCTTTCCCACCTTTGTGTCTATTCTTTTCCCCTGAGCCAGTATGTTGGGTGGTGGCCTCTGCTTGTCCCTCGCTGGTGTTCTCACTTGCTCCAGAGTTTTGACAGTAGAGGGGAGAAGAAAAATCTCTTGGGTCCCGAATCTTCTGGATAAAACATGTCTTTAAAGTCACAAACCTCTCCCACAAGATTACCATGGTTCTCGGTTCTATGCACAGTAATTAATTTATGATTGAAGAAATCATTTCATCACTACATGTCAGTTTCTACAGCTACTAAAGGAACAGAACTATGATTACCAGTTCCCCGGAAATAAAAAGGAACAATGACAGAGACTAGGGTTAGTTAGGGTCAGGTTACTTAGAATGCAGTAGATCGCTTGGAGAATTGGCACATAAGTATTGCCCAGAGGGGTGGGAAGAGCCACTGTGGTTCCCTGCCTGTAGTAACTCCATCCCTTGGTTCAAGTGGCAATAAGGCCTGACTGAAAAAATGTACAGTCTCTTCTGTTCATATCCTTGAGCAAGTTACTTAACTTCTCTGACCTTCAGTTTCTTCTTCAGTAAAACGGGGATAATAATCCCTATGATGATAATGTAGTCGTCAGAAGTAAATGAGACAACATGGAGCGCTGAGAGGCAAGGTCTGTGCTAGGTGGGGGCCAGATGAAGGCAGGCCCCTCCTCCTTGAAGGCACCTTCCGGGGTTGTTCGAAGGGGATTGTCTGACCCTATGGAGATAAAAGATCTCTTGTGTTTACAATTGTTAGGAACCCTGATCATTCTTGTTATGGTTATTAATTGTAAGTAATTAACATCAATGTTAACAGATCAGAAAAAGAAAAACAGGGTTATGGTTATTAATTGTAAGTAATTAACGTCGATGTTAACAGATCAGAGAAAGAAAGCAGGCAGGAGAATGCTTAAACTGTGTCATTAAACAGCCAGGCAGATTGGTCTCTGCCAGCCTCGCAGGCCACTGCTGTCCCCGCACCTTCCCCAGCTCAGGGCTCTCATCCCACGACGTGGTCCTATAAAATGTGGTCCCCCACAGGTCTTGGGGGATGTATCCTCCTGTGTTGGCTGTAATGGGACTTGCAGGCTGCCCTTTCTGCTTTCAGCTGTGCTATTTCCAGGGCAGATGGGGTGGGTGCTTACTCTCCTCCAGACTTGTAGGCAAACACCCGTTGCTGCAGTCTGGGTGAGCTGCCTGCCGAGTCACTGGGAGAGGAGGCAGCTGGTTTGGAGCCTGCGCTGTCCTGTGAAAGGGGAATTTGTGAATTCTTTGGACAGGATTGTCCCCCTCATGGAATATCCTCTGCCTTTCGATGACCTTGAGTCATTGCATAAAAACAGGTGTGTTCCCAGGTCCCTGAGACCTTCTGTAAGTCTCACCCTATCCTGAAAAGATAAGGCAAGCTTTCATCATTCAAGAGCAAGGGAACAGCCTAGTTGATTGACGACAGGGTTTTATAACCCTGAGCCTGCTACTAGCTTGCTTAGGGGACCCTGGAGAAGAACCTCAACCTCCCTGCCCATCAGTTTCCTTGTCTACCTTTTCCTAAAAGAGGGATGCTGAAATGGTGTACTTCACAAACCACCACTGTCCTCTCACAGAAGCTACATGGCTGCACACCTAGGGAGGGGAAGGGTAGTTCAGACTGACAGCTGAGGGGTGGGCAATGCCTCACTAGGGCATAATAATCTTATTTATTCCTTTCTAGGTGGAATAGTGCCACTGCTTTAGAACAGTGGTCTGGTCTCTGGCATCAGTCTGCCTGGGTTCAAAACCCAGCTCTATCACATACTAGCTATGTGACCTGGGATAGGTTATTGACCCCTCTTTACGCCAGCTATAAAACAGTTACTGTGAAGATGAAATGAGCTGAAATATGTGAAGTTTTGGAGTAGGACCTGGCATACTGATAGCTATTACTAGTATAAATTTATTAAAAGGAAAGCATAGTGGGCATAATCAGACAAATCTGGATTCGAGGCTGGTTCTGCCATGTAAATTACTAAGCTAAATGAGTTTCTTAGTATCTCTTTGTCTCAGGTTCACCATCTGGAAAATGGAATAGTTACCAAACCCAGTGCTGTTGTGAGGAATAATTGAAACGATTTTATGTAAATGCCAAGTATATAGTAAGTGCTCAATACATCTTAACTATTATTATATATTATAGAAAACATTTGTTCTATTGGTCAGAGTTAGGCATCTTAGGTCATGCTTAGTCTGGATATAATAATGATAGAAACAGTAGTACATTGAGGGCCAAAGATTCTGAGCAAAACAGATTTCCCGAAAAGCCCCCAAAGGCCCAGAAGGAAAACCTGTTAATAAAGATTATCTTGTTTATGTTGGAGTTCCAGGGCAGGGGAGCTGCCAGTGCCATGCCTGGTCTGTGCAGACTGTGGGCAGGAGGACTCTGCGATATAAACAAACAGTGGATTCTTCTGGAGTAGTGATTCCTGGCTTCCTGGCCCCTTTTTAGATTTGAATTCCTCTCTTAGAGTGGAGAAAATCAGGTCTGCAAGGATCCTGACCATTTACAGGGCCATTCTGTAAGATGCGGCCAAGAGAAGACTATGAGGGAGGCTCCTCACTGCCATAGTATCACAGACTTCCGGTGGTTACAACTATTCCTGATATTTATGTGCCCGCATCACAGTCTCACTCTCATGTGGGTGGCAAATTTATTGTCCTCTGACAGTGTGTCCAAAGTATTGAGGGCTTCTGAAACTATTTGGTAGGAAGACTACATCACTCTTCTAGGTCAATGGGATTTAACTATTTACTATCTCCAAAGAGTAAGAGTTAACTTGGAAACCATGCAAGTTTCTAAGAACAAACACTTCACTGAACTGAAATCAGTAAATAAAGATTCTATCACTGATCTCATAGGATCATTTTACAAATTAAATGAGAAAATACATGTAAAATACCTAGCACAGTGTCTGGTTCCTAGTGAACTGCTTATTAAATAGTAATGATTATTTTTTTATATTATATTCTAAAAAGAAGGGGAGAACATAGACTCCAGCTTCAAGTAGAGGGTTGACAAGAAATTTGCTGTTTTTATTAGAGTCTCTTTATTCCAATTCTCTTCACCCCTGCCCTTCATCCTCTGCTTTTCTAGAAAACCCACACCCCCTGCTCTAGGGAGTCACTTATCTTGACACGGTAGACTGCCTAGTACACTTCTACCAGTGGCAGGAATTCTGTCCCAATTAAGCAGGGCCATTTTTTTGTATATCACTCATTTGTGACTTGGAATGCATGGACTTAAATTCCATCATTATTTCCCAGTGACTCTTATTTGCTTCTTGTGTTTGATGCATTTGTCACAGGGACACCAAAGAGTCCACCAACAGCAGAGTGGAAGCTCTCCAGGAATTCTCTTTAATGGCCTCTTGGCACCGTGCATGGCAACAGCACATGCATGATGGTGCAGTCCAAAAATGCTATTGCTATCTGTGGAGATGATTTGCATAACTTGCTGATGATGCTGGGTCAGTCACGTGGCCTTTTTTGAATAGAACGCTGCATGTTTAGGCTCCTGCACACTCCCATAATACATGAGTCACCCAATGTTTTCATAGTCCTCATTAAGTACTATTGTTATGCTTGTAATATGTCTTCAACAACACACACCCCCTCAGCCATACTACCTGTGGCCTCTTTTCCGCTTGGGGCCCTTGCAAATGTGGCTTAACAGTTATCCTTGAAGATATCTGTATTCTAACTTAGTAATGGATTAAAAAGAAATGACTACATTTTATACTAGGCCAAAACTGCTATCCCTAAGTATGTAGCAGCCTAAGTAGCTGCCACCCCCAACATCCTTCTGGATTCCTGAGCCGTGTGGAGAAGTGCTGGGGTGCCTCACTGGGAATGTTCACCCCACTTCTGGGGGATTTCCCTGGAAATACATAGCCCCTGTATTATTTTCCTAGGGATGCTGCAACAAATTACCATAAGCTTGGTGGCCTAAATCAACACAAATTTATCCTCACACAGCCCTGGAGGCCAGAAATCAAGGTGTTGGCAGGGCCTTGCTTCCTCCGAAGGCTCCAGAAGAGAATCCTTCCTCGCCTCTTCCAGCTTCTGGTGCCTCCAGGTGCTCCCTCGCTGTGGCTGTATAACTCCAACCTGCCTTCACATCACCTTCTCCTCTCACCTGTGTCTTCTCTTCTTCTGTCTCTTAGAAAGACACTGGTC